AGTCTGAGCTGGACCGTCACCTGTAGCACTTCGGCGATAATAAACCAGTGACTTCAATAATAGTGTTTCCTTTCTACTAACGTGAAAACACTACAGTGGCGACGAGAGATTCGAACAGGACGGCGAGTGAAGAAAAGGCGAACAAGAGTTTTGCCGCCGCCGTCCCCAGAAGCAAGCGGCCAGCCAGACTCCAGCGGAAGCCCAGCCCAGCCAGCGCCGGACCCGACCACGCCTCGCGCACAGCGCAGAAGAGTAAACAAGCGTGAGTGACCAAAACTGGGGGCATGGCGGGCGGGTCTTTTTCGTCCTTTGACCCTACGGGGGAGGGCAAATGGGAAATTTATTACCAAAAGTTCATGTTCCATTGCCAACGTCAGAAGATCGGTACTGATGCACTGCGCAAGGCCGAACTAATTTCGATCTCATCAGATGATATGTTCGAGTTCATGGAAAGCGTTTGTGAGACATCCTTATCGGACGAGGCACTGACATTTGCTATGATTTGCACCAAAATCGAGGCCCATCTGCAGACCGGGAACGTGATAATGCTCACCGCAGAATTCAATACAAGAAGCCAGCTCCCAGGGGAGTCAATTTCTGAGTACATTACTGTCCTTCGGAAAATGGCTAAACCTTGTGAATTCGGGACCGCTTGTGATAGGAATATAAGAGACAGGCTGGTAGTCGGGGTGAGGAGCATGGATACTAGGGCACTTCTGTTCAGGGGGGGAAATCAAATGACTTCTGAAGAGGCATTTCAAATAGCGAAAAGCGTCGAAATGTCGCAGCAGAATGCAGCCAAAACTGAGAACGGGCATGGCCTGCACAAGGTGGCATACAGCAAGAATTATGAGAAGAATAATAATTCTGAGAAAAACAACAAGAAGTCCAAGTGCTGGCGGTGCGGGCGGGGTAACCACAAGCCTAATGAGTGTCATTTCATAAAGACTGTTTGCAGATTCTGTAACGTAGAAGGACACATCGAGAAAGCCTGCATAACAAAGAAGAAGGGCGGCAAGAAGACCAACCCGCCCTCTGCACAGCCGTCGAAAGTCCACCAGGTCACCGTCGAACCCCATGGACAGCAAGTCCCGCCCAACAACGCGTACTCGGAGGCAGGTCCCTCGTGGGCCAACGAGTACAACGAGTACAGCCTCGGCGCCATGCAGGTCGAGGTAAACATCAACAAAGTTGGCATACTAAACATTCCTCCCCCTATAATGTTTCAGGCAGTGGTGGACGGAAAGATCATGGAATTCGAAACGGATTGTGGCTCACCGATCGCACTCATCAGCGAGGCGATTCAAGAGAAGAGATGGCCGGGAAAGAAGCTCGAGAAGTCACCATTGAGACTCGCAACATGGACCAAGAGCCCCGTCACCATCAAAGGGTACTTCTGGGTGAAAGTAAGCCACAACAATTGTCATGAAAATCTGCCTCTGTTTGTAGGATACGGAGAAGGAACAAGTCTGCTGGGAAGGCAATGGTTCGACTTTCTCGGGATCGCTGTGACAGTCCACAACCAGGTCAACAAGGTCAACGTCACCGAGGGCCAGGGCAAGTTGGTCGCAGCGCCCGTCGAGCAAACGCCGCAAGAACTGCTGAGGTACGAGTGTTTTCAACCAGGCTTGGGTGAGTACAAGGGAAAGCCAATCTCCCTCAAAATTGACACCACCGTAAAGCCGAAGCGTTGTAAAGCTAGAAAAGTACCTTTTGCAAGGCGTAGGGCGGTAGAGCAAGTGATTGATTCCAAAGTAGCTCAGGGAGTATGGAAAGGGCCTTTGCAGTCGGCCGAATACTCCACACCAATTGTCGCTGTTTTCCAAGACAAAGCATTACCCAGGCTTTGTGGAGACTATCGGGCGACAGCAAACTAGGTTGTAAAACCAGACCAGTACCCGATGCCGACGATAGAAGAGGCATTTTCTGCACTGAGTGGCGGTGCTGTGTTTTCTAAGATTGATTTAACGGATGCATACACCCAACTGGCTGTCGACGACGATGCTGCAAAACTGTTGACAGTGGCAACACATAAAGGGTTATTTTCGGTGCACAGGCTGCCCTACGGGCTGAGCGCCGCACCGGGTATTTTCCAAAGAATGATGTGTGATTTGTTGACAGGAATGGACGGTGTGGTTGTATGGCTGGATGACATTCTAGTGACAGGACGCACTCGCCAGGAGCACGACGGGAGACTCCATGAGGTACTCAAACGCATCAGTGACAAGGGGCTCCGCGTCAACGCCAAGAAGTGCCAGTTTCACAAGTCTGAGTTGGAATACCTGGGCTTCAAACTGGACAGCACCGGGAGGCAGCCCATGAGGAAAAGAGTAGCAGCTATCCTGGACGCCCCACCGCCAACTGATGTCAGTGAGTTAAGGAGCTTTCTAGGGAAATTAAATTTCTATGATAAATTTCTAGAGAGCAGGGCTACTATTTTTGAGCCATTGTACCGTCTATCTGATAACGACAAGGAATGGGTGTGGGGCGAGGCACAGCAAAACGCTTTCGAAGAGGCCAAGAAGATGTTATGTTCTGCTAAAGTACTGGTGCACTACGACCTCAAACGTGAACTAGTTGTGTGCGCTGATGGGTCCCCGGTGGGTGTAGGTGCTGTTCTAGCACACACTTTCCCTGACGGTGAAAAACCGATAGAGTATGCGTCACGAGCTCTGTCCAAAGCTGAGAAAAATTACAGTCAAACGGACAGGGAGGCTCTGAGCATTGTATTTGCCGTGAAAAAGTGGCACAACTACTTGTGTGGCCGCCATTTCACAATCATCACTGATCACAAACCCTTGTTAGGACTATTCGGCACGGACAAGCCCATGCCAACTATGATTAGTCCCAGAGTGGAGAGATGGTTAATAATGATGGGATGTTACAGCTATACAATTAAATGGAGGCCCGGGAAACAGCATGGAAATTGTGATGCACTAAGTCGCTTATGTATTCCAGGAACGGCTCCCGACAAAACTCCAGAGCCCTACGGATTATTTCTCATGACAGGACTGAGCAGCCCACACCTTACTTGGCAGCAAGTGGCACAGGACACGGCGAAGGACCCCATCCTCAGCAAGGTCAAGAAGTGGACCCAGGAGGGGTGGCCGACGCGCGACCCGGGCGGTGAGCTAAGTGTGTACTTTCAGAAACGAGAGGCGCTCTCCATGTGCAGGGACTGCATCCTGTGGGGCATCAGGGTGGTCATCCCCAAGGGCCTGCGCGAGGCGGCACTCAGGCACCTCCACGCCGCTCACCTCGGGGTGGTGAAAAGCAAGAGACTTGCCCGAGTCCTTTTCTGGTGGCCGGGGCTGCCGCTGCAAGTGGAGCAGATGGTGGCGCACTGTCCGGCATGTCAGGCCACAAGGGCAAATGCACCAGCACTCCCAGTGACACCATGGCCAGAACCAACTGGAAAGTGGCAACGACTCCATATAGATTTTGCTGGGCCCTATCATGGTAAACATTTCATAGTGGTAGTGGATGCCTACACACGGTGGATGGAGGTAAAATTTGTGAAGGGACCAACGTCAGAGGCAACCATGCAAGTGTTGGAAAATGTGTTCAACTTTAATGGTTTTCCCCACACAATAGTGTCTGACAATGGGACGGCCTTCAAATCGCACAAATTTAACAACTTTTGTTCCACCAGGGGAATCCGCCAGCTGTTTACCGCGCCCAGGATGCCACAATCAAACGGTCATGCTGAAAGGATGGTCCGCACTATCAAGGAGAAGTTGAGTCAAGTAGGCGGCGCCAACACCCAAGAGAAGCTGGACAGGATCGTGGACGCCCTGCGCTCAACACCGGGCCAGGACGGAGAATCGCCCAATCAGAGACTGTTTGGAAGGGAGCTTAGAACACCGGTGACACTGGTAAGGCCAACCCCGCCGACTCCCAAACTAAATGATGTCCTTCTCAATCCAGGCGACCGAGTGTGGTACAAGCGGCATGGAGTGAAGTCTTGGTTGCCAGGAAGAGTCAAGGCGCCGGCAGGGGCGAAGATGGCGACACTCCACCAGGAAGGAGCGGTCCGCCACGCTGACCAGATTCGACGCCGAGCTCCAGGGGCCACGACGACGCCGCAGCCCAGGGTCCTCATGAACATCCAGACCAGAGCGACGGGCGGCCGCGCCGCGGCGCAAGTAGTCGGCGCGACGGCGGCGACAGCCAACGAGAACGGCGGCGCCCTGGACGACCAGACTCACAACCGAGACGAGGAGGATCATGACCACACCGGCGAGGCCGTCGACGAGGACACCGGCAAGGCCGCCAACCAGGACGAAGTCTGGGCGGACACGGTGTGGAACGTCGAGGAAAAGGACCAGAGTGTCGACGCCACGGTTCGGGAAGAGAATGCCAATCTTACCACCGAAGGCGACGAGCAGAAGGCCCAACCCGAGCAACCTCAAGATGAGGCAGGGGCCGCTAACAACGTGCAGGTCCAGGCAGAGGCCGAGCAACATGACAAACAAGTCAGGCATGGCAAAGGCCGTGGAAGACGAAGCCTGGACGTGCAGCCCTCCCCAGAGCGACCAGCTGGAAGAAAGCAACCAGAACGCTCAACAAGAAATCCCAACCCGCTCTATGTAGAAAGTACAAATGAATGGGGTGGAACTGCCCAATGGTAGATGGGGAGGGAGCTCTGTTTCGGAAAAACTTGTTTTTCCTTTTTGTGTGTGTGTGAATGTGTGTGTGAATGTGTGTGTGGCTTTGTTCACTTCAGTCGGTACCTTGATATGAAAAGGACATAAAACCGTTGTTCGTGACAAGCAATTTTTAGTTTTAAGTTTAACGGTGCTATCAAATTTTGCTTTCGCTGCTTAATTAATTTGCTATGTATTAGCTTCAACAATTTATGTTCTCATACAAATTGTGTCATAATCAGCAAGCACCTTCACCGTTATAGCAATGTTAAAATTTATTCAATTTTTATTAATGTTTT